ATGTTCTAGATCCGAAAATAAATGTGTATACATGTATATATATATATATATATATATACATAGTATCATCTTGTACCCCAAGTTGGACCTTAAAAGTTTCTTAGATTCTATCAATTGAATTCTGGATGTTTCATAATTATGCTGGATTTCATAGTCTTCTTCATTCTAGATCCCTTAAATTCTATGTTAATTGATGTTTATTTATTTTAAATCCCAAACCAATTTTTTTAGATAAATACGAGATGTTTGAATATAATTGATTAAAATTATTTAAAATTGCCTGAATTCGGATCATACAAACTCTAATTTTGATAATCCATGATACTCTTTAAACTTGCATACCTTAGAATCTGGTATCTTAGTTGCTAAATGGTTTAAACCATAGCATCTTTAGATCCTGCCTCGGGTTCGCTGCATTCCGAACACAGTTCATTTATCAGAACGGTAAGAATGTTGAACTTGTTTATCTAAAACCAGACCACAGATTAAAATCGTATGCGTGTCTGTACTATGAATAAATTAATACATATAATTCGTTTCTTTATCGCGTGTTCTTAAGCTAGTCAATATCAATGCATGTTCAACATTACTCTTATTCAAAAGATGCTTAATCTTTTAAAGAAATTAAGTTAATTTATTTAAAATAAAACTCTAAGATTAGATTGCACATGTAGAAAAATAAATAATTGTCGACGACATATCAAATTTATCGACTTATTTTTTGTAGAAGATAAATTAATGTTCTCTTAGAAGTTTTATTAATTATAAGATATTAATTTAGTTTCTGAAAATAAATCGACAAACTTGATTTGTTATATCAAGTATAATATAAAATTGAATAAAGTTAACAATAAGTTTGAATGTAATTTCACTTTTATTAAGATTTCTTTTAGATAAAACGTAAATCGTTTCAAGACTAAAATTCAACACTGGAAAAAATCTGATTGCATTAATTAAAATTCTGATTGAAAATGAATAAATCAAAATTTTCTGGTTAAATCTATTATATGATTCTTGCGAATAATCAAATTTCTGATTAATACAATCAGAATTTTTTAGTTCATTTTCAACCATAAATTTTTCTCAGTGAAGTAATTGATCGCTTTGCAATATCGACGATTTCCCACGGGAAACAGCAGCGGCAAGCCGCAAAATAAAAGCAGAGTGATGCATGTGTGCGAAGACATCGCCATGTTAAGACGCGGGCGCGTCATCCGGTAATTGCGATTTATTTCTCTTAATCACTGCGTAAACGGCAGCCAATTTATACGGTTCGAGTTAATTTCGTGCAATTATATAATTACTGAACGCGGCGGCCATCGCGCAGCTAACCTAATCGGTTTGCCGAGCCGAGCGCCGTAATGGCGGCACTTAAATTTAAAGATACTTCAGAGACTTTGCGCGCACCAATTCACCCCTGGTTCAACCCAACGCTCGTTTCACCCTCTATTACTCTTTCGCGAGTTTCTTGATCAGAACACGAATTTCTGTTACCTAAATTCTTCACAAACAAACTCACATTGTGAGGTTATTTTACAATAGTAAATTAATAACGATTAGGTTTATGCTTTTTAATAAAACTTTATATTTTTAAATAAATTAACTTTATATAAATTTCATATATTTATAATTTTGAAAAACTAACAATTGGAATTTGTCTTATCAAGGATATGGCAACAATTTTTTATTCTCTTGACTTAAAAAATACTCTTCCTCTTCTAAATTATAAACTAATTTGTTATACTTACTTATGTAACTCTTTTCTTTTATAGACTTTTACACAAAACATTAAATTTATACAAAACATTAAATTCATAGTATTTATTTTTATTCCACAATGTTCTGCTCGAATGAAAGGGAACTGTAGAGGGTTGGGATTCATTTTGCGGCATGATACTTGGTCTCGGTGTAAAGCAAAGTGAGGGTACAAAATCGATATTAGACCTCTTCTCCCTTCTTGGGATGGATGTCACTGTTCCCGTGCTTGGCAGCCATGCCTTTCGTCTAGAGAAACGGAATTCAGCAGCCTAGGATCTTGGCAGCTGTGGAAGTTAGATGAGATTTGGACGATCTAAGAATTTGTACGAAAGTGCATAGATAACGTGCACTTCCGGATTTCATTATAAGTAAAGTCGAGGAATGTAAAATTAAATCAAGAAGTCGAAAAATTTAAAATTCGAAAAAATCGTGCACCAGAAGAAATGTAAAATATATATATAAAATGTAAAGTAAATAAAGTAAATAACGAACGAAAGATATATTTAGATGCAATATATACATCCTAATTGAAAGCACAAAGTCGAAGAAAATAGAAATAGGAACAAGGTTATAAAAATAAAAATAACGAGAATTCCAACACGTCGTTCGCAGAATAGCGTATCTCAGAAAATTCCAAAGACCATATGCGAAATTGTGCGACTGCTTCAAGGTGAGGGGAAGGCGTGTAAGCTGCATCAGGGTGCAGACAGATGGGAGTGGTCTCTGTAATCACAATGGGCGTGGTTTTTCACGGCTTACTGCAACTGCATCACATGGGGTATAAAATTGTGCACAGTCGGATTCTATCACTTTTACCGGGAAATCAATAATTCGATTTGATTTGTGATAAAATAAAAAAATCAGAACAAATATTTTCCCTCCTCCTCTTTCAAACATATAGAAAATAAAATATAAACGTTTGCATAACTATATCACATATATAGCTATTATTTAATAATTTAATTGTATTCTATATATATTTTAAACACATTATCTAATATTTGATTATTTACACACGATCTAATATTAATTTAATTTAAATTCATTTCAGCTTATCTATTCATTTCAAACCTTATTTTATAACATACTAAAATCTGTACTCTGCACGCACAGGACTTTAAATTTCTCGGCGGCTTTTCCTCGCAAGCAAAATGAAAAATTAAATCAGAGATGAACAGAAATACCATTTTTCTATACCGCATAATTTAACGCTATTTTCTGGTTCGCATAATTCACCGACAGAAGAGCAGCGCGTTCAAGGAACGAGGGTATGTTCGACGGGATCCTGCCGACGCGGCTGCAGGAACGAGATGTTTTGCGGATGCGTCCGCGGTTTTTTGTCCTGGACGATTTTGGTGGGTGAACGCCGAGCCGAAAGAGGACACTGTATGGATCGCGGCTCCCATTAAGCCCTTATTAATTGCGAGCATCTGAGGGACCGACTGATCTTTCTTGCGCTACCTGCGCGCCATTCCGAACAAAACTCCATCCTGCTGTCGCTCGACACAGTCAGGACACGGTAGGATCTTTGATACGCCGTCGATATGCCGACATACGCAAGTATATCAGATGTAATGGGGATCGCGATGTAATAAATCAGAAACAAATATTAGAAATCCGAGAATGAAGCTCTTATTCTAACTCGTTAATGATAATGTCATTGCGCATGTATGTTTTATATGTGATAATGACAATATAACAATACAGACAATATTATTAAGAGTAACAGGATAGGGACGTAAGTATTTAATTCAAAAATTAATTCTTTCTCTTAAATAATTTTATTAATTATTTTATAACTCTTATAGAGATCTGAAATAGTTACGAGTTGAATAATAAATGTTATTTAAGGGAAAAATGTTGACGATTATTTCGCTGAGAAATAAAAACAGATCAAAGACAACGTATATATTGTTTCACATTTGATTTGATCACTCGACGAAAATCTTTCTCTTTCTTCTTCGTTAAAATTAATATTAAGAACCTGAAGCTATTTATTCTTATGAAACTAAAAGAAAACGCGATAATCTCGCGATCAGTTTCGCCAACAACGAACGCTATTTATTAAACTGACAATTTATTTTTCCTATGCGAATCTCAGAAAATAAATATTTTGAATATTTCACACATTCCGCGTTCTCTTAAAATTTACCTGAATGTTCACATTCGCCGTTGGTGAAACCGAACATGGAAAAGTCTACTTACTTACCGGAGAGAGGTGCGTAGTGACCGTGAGGATAGGGCGGCGCCGAGGAAGCGTCGACGAGAGATTGCGACGGCGTCGCCGACGTCCATTCCTTGTAGGTCGCGGCGTGCGCGTGATGCGCCGCGTGATGAGACGTATGGTGGCCGAGGCCGCGTGCACCACCCAGCAGAAGGCCACTGTAACTCGCTGCTGCTGCCATATTGTGGTGATGGTATTCGTGCACGGCCCTAGAAAAAGAAAAGAAAGCATAGGAAAATTCATTACAAGAAGGAAATGATCTGTGGTGTGAAAAAAATTAACGTGTACTTTTCGAATCAAATATGAATAAAATTAACTACTGACACGTAGCGTTTTGGCGCACAGAGATACAGGGAGGAGATATTGCGCCAAACCAGCACATAAAAATAGCATCACGGTTCTCAGCATGTCGATATAGTCGCCTTGATTATAGTGTGTCGTGATCGATGAGAATTAGAAAATAATATATGTCATCAGTACCCGATGCCAATCTCAAAGGGGTAAGGTAAAAGGAGAAAGCAAAAGAAAGAAGCGGAAGAAAGATAGCGACATGGATTTAAAAGCGAAAACGAAGAGCACAGGTATGTGAAAAATACTAAAAACCGTCGGGAGCAGGTAACGCCGAGATCTTTAGCACTGATCTGACTACATCTATAAATTACAAATCTGTCACCGTTGCCGTAGGAAGAGGATGGAAGGTATCAGTGACTTCTTTTTTTTTTGTTTTAATTTACTTTACTCCACTGTCCTATGTGTACTCTTTTGTCATTTCTTTTTCTTCCTTTTGTTCTAATGATAGTTGTCGCTCCAAAATCAGTTCGTTAATTCATTCAATGTTAAATTTCAATATCATGTACTCAACGATATCACGCTTTAAAAATATAGAAACATGAATCAACGCGCAGCTATGAGAAAGAAAGATAACAGAAATAATAAGTTATTAATATAATAATAATTAATTCAACATGGCAAAAGATCATGCTTAAAAATTTCTCGTCTCACTAATTAATGAGCTATGTAGCATTTAATGGCGCGCTCACAGGAAAAATTCCCAGCATGCGGTCTCGGTTTTACGTCTCTACAGTGTGACGAGATGCTGGAGTTACACGCAATTATTCGATGCACACGATCAAGAATCAATGGGACATGGCGCCGATATTCTATCGCACAACTTTGTAAAGAATGTCTATTAAACAACGGGAAAAAAGGGAACTATGCCATTTATGTAAAATGGAAAAAAGATAGAAATACAGAAAGAAAGAGAAAGAGAGGGAGAGAAAGAGAGGAGAAATAGAAAAAATAGAGAACAACAACAGCGATCGGTAGCACTGACCTGTGATGGTACTGCGGGTAATGCGGATGCCATGGATCCGTCGGGTACTCGTAGACATCACTGGGATGCTGACTATTCCAAAAGGAAGGGGGAAAGTTCCTCATGGACATAGGGGAGATATTTTCTGCAATAAAAAAGAAAACAATTTTACAATGACGGCGCTTTTAATAACTTGCGCGAGAAAACATGCGTCTACGAGAAATTCTTAGAGAGAGAGAGAGAGAGAGAGAGAGAGAGAGAGAGAGAGAGAGAGAGAGAAGAGAGAAACAGTCTTTTTAATTTTTCTATAAAAATCTTATTTTGCCCTCAGAAAACAGGGAAGAGCGATCGAGAGGTCCTACCGGTTGTTTATGTAACCTTTCTCGAGCGCGTGCGACTCGGCGCCTCTCAGTCGGAATCTGATCGGAGAACATTCTATTCTCTGCTGCTAAATATCGTGCTATTCTTATTTTTCCTGTGTTTAGAAGCGCGAGTCCATTGTCGAAAAAAAAAAAAAAAACGGTTTTCAGGGCAAGCACAAGCAATGCTATAAATACTGGTGCCAAAGCGATGATCCTCAAGTGATGAATATTACCGATAACTCGTTGTTTCTTTCTCTGGGGAGATACGCTCTCCTCCGGAAAACGGGTTCCAAGCGATCGCGCTTCCACCAGAAACCACTCGTCCTAACTAGTAGGAATAAATAACGTCGCTGGCCGACTAAATCATCGTAGTTTGTAACGGCGGAGTAAATTAGCAGCCGGTATGCCTCTCCTAGCAGATAATCGAAGCGACTTAGCCGGAGATGAAATCGCGTACGTGCATGCGCGCGCGAGAGGGGAGGGAATTAGAGGGCATAAATCGTGGACCGGCGCGGTCGACCTCGCGTTGGTCCACAACCTTCGGTCGCACGTTCCGATTGGTTGGGGATGGATTAAAAAAGAAAAGAAAAAAAAAGAGAGGGAAAGAAGAGAAGAATCCAACGTGAGCGAGGACCGCGCGAGAGAATTGCAAGAGGATACACGACAAGCTTCTGGCTTCGAAGTGGCCGCTTGTAAAACAACCAAGCGGTACCCTTCTGCCTTCCGCCGATTTGATCCCGTGGGATTCTGCCTGCCCGTTTAGTGAAGCTTTTCGGAATCGTGGGAACGAATATATTATATTTTAATAAAGAATCAATTAAAAGAATTGATCAAGCTATTATTATCATCCTTACATTAATTAATTGCCTAAAGTTAATGCTAATTTGCAATTAATAATGTGTCATATGATCATGATAATGTATAACAATAAATCACATAATATATATGATATTAATATGATAATAATCATGATAATTTAGATATTACAATATAGAGCAATATGTTACAACATTTATATATTATAACATTTGTAAAGCTGTCTGATATTGTCTAAGATACTTGTTGTCTCTGCTATGATATCGCATCATTGCTTCGATTTAATAATTACTGCGTTTTCTTTTTACCGTTTAACTCACAACAGTTTGATTAAATAAGATTATTAATTATAAAGAAAAGAAAATGAAATTATCATTAGTAGAGCAATCACAGAATACTAAGCGATTTCAACTTTTAACATCACAAGTTTCAATGAACCACCAAGAATATCCGATATGTATTAGCAATAATTTAAATTTTAATACTTGACAACTTATGTAATATTTTAACTTTTAAATTTGTTTTAATATTGAGAATGACCCGATTGGCATCGCAACGTTTGTTATTGTACTTCTTTATATTTATTTTCTGAATATTAAATGTTCTTAATTTGTTTTTAATCTGACTTGTAGCCTTTCTATTTATTTATATTAATTTATTCTGATTGAGATATATTATTATTTTATATTGCAATATATTACATTATCGACTTATTGCATACAATAAAAATTTTGATAAAGTTATTTATCATTAAAGTATCTATAAAAAAACACTAATCGATATTCGCAGAATAATTTTTCATCGAAGAAATTCTTTGAGATGACGCGATATCTTACATTTTTATAGATATCACACTTGCCACGGATAAACAGATAATTTTTATTATAGATTACGATGTGAGATTGAACATTTTATCAACAGTTGCAGTGACCTAATCGGTAAATCAACACTGAAATACCGGATCTTACATAAACGGGCGAGTCACAACACATGAAGTTATGGTTCTCGATAACATGGTAATAACATGTACAATTAATTAATCGCGCAAGTTTGAAGTATCTATAAATGAACTATAAATTAAATTGATTTCTGCTTGTTGATCGATGAATTTTCGAATCAAGATTGCACCTCGATCAACAGATATATTCTTTTTGCTTAATGAAATAATATTTTTAAAAATATTGAAAGGAGAAAATTATATATACAAAATGTCACGCTATCAAACATTCTATCGAGCTTCTTTTAAAATTAATAAAAAGATTTTACTTTATTAAATGTAAAAGTTAATTTAAAAAATTACTTGCCATTAGTTTAATGACATGTATACAGTATGTTACATGTATGTTGCACTTTTGTAAAGTATAATTAAAGAGATAATTATAAAATGTATTGTATTGTATAGTCATATATGTATTATCATCACAAATATGATCCTGTAATTCTCGAGATAGACAGGGATACGGCTGAGGATGTCGTGGGACTGTTTGCGGCTTCTCTCTAGTATCTGTCTCGGTCTCGGTTCGCCGACTGTCCTTTATTTATTAACGCAATTAAAGAAACAGAGTGTCGACCGTCTGCAGCCGGCTTTATTCTTTGCCGATGCCGCGACCAAAGAGAGAAAGGGTATCGCTCTACGTGGAGGAGAATGGAGGGAGGGAGAGGAGCGGGTAGAAAGGGTTGTCGAAGCCTGGTTAGCCAATAAGTACCCGCGTGTTCCTTAGAACTTCAGAAAACGCCGACGTTTTAATCGACGACTTGCGACTGTCCGTTTTCGCAATCGCATCTACCCTTGGT